TACTTCCCTTCTTGCCTTCTGACTTTTGCAATGAACACAGGAAACAAGAGAAAACAGTTCGTAGTCATGGAATTAAAGACACTGCAACAATACCGAATGCTGAAGATGCCTCATTTTGAGTACTTAGTTTACCAGCATCTCTTGATTTTAATCCAGTAAGAAATTTCTCTCATTTGTATGTAAGTATATATGGAATCAATATGCCCTTGGTATACCTTAAACTACTAGCAACTTTAGTTACTCCTTTTGCATAGTCATTATGGTACAAAGTTTAATATGTCGCACACAATTTCTCAGCATAATTTGAATGTGCCTTGAATGCAATTAATACTTTGAACAAAAAGAAATACTGAAAAACAATTTTAAAATGTTGTCATTAAAATTCTTTAACTTTTCATTTTTACATACATCTTTCTTTAAGAATTTTCTAAATTGAACAGTTCTGTTTCTGTTTCAGAATTGGGTTTAATACAAGAAATCTGCAGTGGTTTTTATATGAATTATGCAAAATCTTTCACAAAGACTAATTTTGTTTTCAGCTTAGCATTTTTGATTTTTTTTCCTGAAAGATGTTTTTTGGTTTTGCTAATTTTTTTACTTATAAGTGAACCTGCTATGTAAGGACATCTTTTAAATAATTTTTATGGATTTTTGTCTGATATATGCACAGTGTTGGCATATATTTGTTTGGTGAATTTTTGTGCTGAAGGTTGTAGAAACAATTCTGTGCTAGAGAAATATGTGCTGGGTAATTAAAATACTGGCATATGAATCAAAAACTTAAGCGTAAGATTGACTGCTCTGTTAGAGTATTATTTTCTAAAATGGCACAGTGAGCTTTCGTTAAAGAAAAATAAATACTCTGTGATCTCATGTAGGGGTATGTCTGTAGGTGTATATTACATGCACACACAAAAGGTTTATATATCTGATTCAGAAGATCATCTAATAGCTCGTATATGTTGTGTTTTCAGGTGTACACATGATTATAGAGCAAAAGCTCCTTTGGAGCCTGGCCTCAGCACAGCCATGGTATTCATCTTTTTCCTTAGACAAGCAAGGTCCTGTTCATAGGCAGGAATCTTTAAAGCTGTCATACCTACCAAAAAAAAAAAAAAAAAAAAAAAAATGCAGGCTCAATTTGTGCCTATAACGGGATTCTAACTAGTGGGATTTGGTCGAATAGCTGACTTCCCTCCATTTCCAGATAGTCAAAAGTATTGCTCTATAATGAAGGCCATTTAATTACTAAAGGACTAGACAGTTGAAACAAGCTGAGTATGTAAATTCTGTAGGTGTGTCTGAACAGCTGAAACAGCTGAACAGCCATTAACCATGATCAGTGCTGTACTACAACTTTCATATAAATCAGTATAGATTTAGCAATTTAAAAAACTTTTTTTTTTTCCCTTTATAGTGGAGAGTGGTTTTTTAAATCCAGCTAATTTCTGAAGTATGTGAGCAAATTTTACTCTCAGGATAAGTTCAGGCCTCTAAATAGTCAATCTGATGGGTGAAAATAGCAAACTGGAATGTAAGTTCTCTGCCTCTGACTTGGTTTAGGTACGGTTCAGATAAGTCTATGCTTTGTATCCCTACCTCAGTTCTGTTCACACAACGTATTTTTCAAAACCATGATTTACAATTTATTTTCTATAATTTGTGATAGTTACGGTGTACATGATAGATAAATACAGCAAAGGGCAAAGACGCACAGAATTCTGATTCAGTACTCACGGTTGAGCAATATATTACAAGTTATCTGGCCCAAGTCTTTAAAAGATATTTAAGCAGCTAGCCAACATTCTGTTTCAATAGCTGTCAGGCACCCACATCTCTTTAAGACTATGATTGTGAGTTTAGGCAGCACAAATTTCTTTTAAGCTAATTTCTTCTGGCTAAACAAATAATGAAGAGCTAAGTTGCACCAAAGAGCATTCAAGCTAATGAAAACAATGCCTGTAGTTATTTTCTCTGGACTTTAATTCCATTTGAAGTTTGTTTTTATTCTCATTATATATTTCATGGTTAGAAAGCTAGAAGAGGCCATTAGATTATTTAGTTCGAGCTTCTGTATAATGTAGGTTCTTAATGTCACCCTGTTTACATTTAGCTTGTAACTTCTGTACAATGAAAGCACAAATAGAATGCATAATTCATATAGTGTTTTTCTGTAAAAGTATTTCTACTAAAGAATACTTCTATTCATTTCAAATTTGCAATGTCACTTTATTTTAAGATCCCAGTGGAGTTTTAGGTTTGTATTTTAGCTCTTAAGATAATTTTAAACAATTCTGCCAGCAGTAGAAAAAAGGCTCTTGGGTACCTAGCTTGGTTGTCTAATTTCTCAATAGTTTAAATGCTAAGCCTGTAAAATAAATTATGTATAGCTTGAATTTAAATGAACAAAGAATACTAGTTTTCCTTTGGGAAAGGGCTTTAATTTAAAAAGAAAATTATGGTTTTTTATATAACCCTCAGATGGGAATGTATTTGTTAGCAAAATAGCTATTTGTTGTCTTGAAAATTTAGTTCTGCTTAAGCTACAGGCTCAGTAAGAAGTCAGCATAGAGCCAGTTTCCATTTAAGAACTAAGCACCTAGCTTGGCTAGGTTAGTAGGGAAAAGACTGTAAATGGAGTTCTTGTAAAATGCATGTCTCAAAACATGAACGTGTGCAAAATGGAAGTTGTGGGCATTTTCTTCTTCCCCACTCCCATGGGGTAGAAGATGCTGATTAGTGTACAGGCACCACTGCAGACACTGAAAACATGGCTTTTGTGTGGTAGGTTTCCAGAGCTTCATTTTTTTTTGTTGTTCTTGGGATTTTTTTAATGTTTCTTTCTGTATATCTAGCAAAGCAGCTTAGCTCTGCTTTTCCATTATTGTAGATTCATTTTCTCATGGCTCTAGGCTATACCACAGAAGTATTAGTGAAGCAGCTGGTTTTGATCCATAGATCTTTCCACTTAGACGCTGAAATTTCCTCCTTCCCCTGCTTGTAGACCTGGCAGCCTCAGTGCTGTGCTGTAGCCAGTCTTTCACAGGGTGTCTTTGCTAGGCTGCCTCCTGACGTACGCCAGGTGCTCCTGTGCTGTCTGTGAAGAAGGTCACCCTTCTTCCCAAACAAGGCTGGTAGGAAGACAACCTCACCACAAGGCCCTCCCCAGCCCTTTTCAAGATCATGGTTTAATCCCAGCCAGCAGCAAAGCACCACAGAGCCACTTGCTCACTCCCCTGAGGTAGGACGGGGAGGGAATCAGAAGGGTAAAAGTGAGAAAACTCGTGGGTTGAGATAAACACAGTTGAATAGGTAACGCACACAAGCAAAGCAAAACAAGGAATTCATTCACTACTCCCCATGGGCAGGCAGGTGTTTAGCCATCTCCAGGGAAGCAGGGCTGCATCACGCATAACCATTACGGGGGAAGACAAACACCATAACTCTGAATGCACCCCCCGTCCTTCTTCCTCCCCCAGCTTTATACGCTGGGCATGACGTCATATGGTATGGAATATCCCGTTGGTCAGTTGGGGTCAGCTGTCCCAGCTGTGTCCCCTCCCAAGTTCTTGTGCACCCCCAACCTACTCGCTGGTGGGGTGGTGTGAGAAGCAGAAAAGGCCTTGGCTCTGTGTAAGCACTGCTCAGCAACAACAAAAACACCTTCGTATTACCAACATTGTTTCCAGCACAAATCCAAAACATAGCTCTGTAGTAGCTACTATGAAGAAAATTAACTCCATCCCAGACAAAACCAGGACACTACCCCAGGAGCAGTGTGGCCACAGCTTTCTGCAATAAAGGGGCAAGTTCAGCCTCAGACATGTTCAGCCTCCTCTGAACACATCTATCTGAGGGTGCCTTTCCTAAATACTGAGTTTCTAAGCTCTAGGTTTCATTTGCATGACACCAGCATCTGTCGTTGCTACTTCTCTATTTTGAAATAACATTCCTCAAGCTTCAGCTTTTTTTTTGCCTTTCCATGCCAATTTAACTCTTAGGACATTCATTAGGGCTTGGGTGCTTTATTGTGTTTTTCTAGGGATGGGAGGGAGTTACTTTTCATTGAGGTGAACCTCCGTTACTTCAGGTGTTTGGTTAAGCCTTCTGCTCACCATAGAGCTTCCTCTGCCCTCACAGAGACGCTTGCCAATAAAGCTGGCGTCGGTTCAATAGGTGAATGGTTTCCTGATACAATCAGGAGTCTGTTTGGAAGAGGGTAACATCACCAAAACATTTTGACAATATCGCAGAAGAAAACTATCAGATTGTGATGTTAGAACACTGATCATTTTATGCAAAACTGCAGTGTTAAAAGTTCTGTATCCCATTATAAGGTAACAACAGTTCTGGGACCAACCCCTACCTTAGGGTCTGCTTACGACTGCAGTTTTTGTTTTCCCAGATAACGCAGCTATCTTCTTCAAAGGGACAGCGAAGAATGAAAAAGAGGAAGAACCATGACTTTCTAACACCTGCCTCCTAAAAAGTGTGTGCATGTGTGTGTACGCTGTGTCACATGCGTTACTCCAGGGTGCTCAAAACTGTTCTCTTACCCTTTTAACTGTAACCCTTGTAACTCCAAAGAGGTATCCTAGGAACTTTTTGTACTTTTCATACTGAATATTTCTAGTTTGGGGTTAGATTCTGCTAACTTTGTGTATTTTTTTGACATTACTTACAGACCAAGAACTACTCAGCTCTAAGAGCGAGCACTGGTATTTGTCTTAAATGTTTTGCTATGTATAAAAAGGAGAAACTGTGTTATTTCTGTTGATTCACCTTCAGAACACGTACCAAATTCAAAGAGAAATAACTAAGCGAAGAGAAATTACTAAAAGGAACAAGAAGTATGTTTCTGAGCCTTAATCCGAAAGGTCATATAACTTGCATCTTCTGAATGTCAAGTCTGAAAAGGAAAAAGCAGTGTAAATAAACCAGTGCCTTTGCACTGCTGGTTGGCAAATTCCCTCACTAGCTCTTGCTGTCCTTCCTGTCAGGATCTGTCACTGTGAGGGAGATGATGAAAGTCCCCTCATCACGCCATGTCGCTGCACAGGGACCCTGCGCTTTGTTCATCAGGCCTGCCTGCACCAGTGGATTAAGAGCTCAGACACGCGCTGTTGTGAACTCTGCAAGTACGACTTTATAATGGAGACCAAGCTCAAACCTCTTCGGAAGGTATGGTGCTTTTGAATTTAATTATCCTCGAGTGTCAAATGGCCAGAAAAAAACTGGCGCAATTAAAGAAACATCTGCCTGTCCAAAATGGCTTTGTGTTTGCTGCTGTTAAATCAGTCCCAGTGATTTTATTTCTACATTTAAGTTAGTTAATTTACAGCAGCAGAGGATTTTGACTAAAAACTCTTTCACCACTCCTGCAATATAAATGCACAAATAATAGATGTTTGTATTTAGAATTTTTATCTTCAGCTTTTTGTTGTTGGCTAATCTGCTTAAGTTTAAGCCACAAAGAAACATTTGTCATCGTCTTTTGCTCCTGAATAATTCAGGCCAGTTCACCCAGTAATTTTTACATTGAGACCATAACTTCTGGTTGAGAATGATGCTTATACCGATGTGGAGACAGCAATTATGAAGTAACGTAGTCAATCAATTTAGCCGCATCTGTTCTAACTGTTACATTGTGGGCAAATTAATCACTTGTACATTAAGTTTAGTTAATGGAATCTAAACTACAGGGTGACCTTGCATCCTGAAAGTCAAACGTATGTTATCTGCACTCATCTGTTTTCCAGGATGAATCAATGTAATGGTACACAAGTTGTCAGTGTGGGAAAGGTGAAGAGTTTGTTAAACATATGTGGGCTGTTTTCTTTGGAGTGAATCATTTCTCCTCTAAATTTTCTCTAAAAATACTCTCGTCCTTTTTGGGTTTTGTTGCATCTTTGAAGTTCGAGTCAATCTAGAACAGGGCATGTTTTGATTTAAAATAAATTTCAGTGTGAGAGACCTTGAAAAACATGTAGAAACAATTAGTTTATAACTAGTGTATGCATACATAGTAGTGTTTTGATGGGAAAAGACATTTTGTTTTTGTTTAGCTAATGTGATAGGAAGGAGATAATTGTGTAAAATTCCCTGTCTGTAGCATATCTTTTGGGTTTTCTTTCTGTATATGTGTTTCTATTTTCAACACAAATTGCTTTGATCTTCCATCTAACAAATACACTTGCAACAGCCAAGAGAATATACAGATATCAGTATTTTTAACGAAAGCCTTTTCCTGATTGTGTTAGATAATAGAATGTCTTTAAAAAACTTGAAATAAAATTTGTAGTATCCAAGGTGAAAAGAAGTGAAATATGTCCTGTCTGAAACAAGCACATATGTGAATAACTGTTTATATCAGAATTAGGCACTTTTAACTGTGTGTCTCATCATTGCCACCTCCCCCTGCCATTTTCTATTGTAATGGAAAAAATCTAATGCAATACTGGCAGATTTAGAGTGGTAATGTAATTCTATTCTTGTAAGTCTGTCTTAATTGAATGATTACCACCTTATTTATCTTATCATTGGTTCTCAGGTAAGTTTTTGATTTCCAACATAGCAAAGATGAGCGTCTTCTTTCAGACAGAGTATTTTTTTTTTCTGCTCAAAGCAGTACTCAAATGTAGTTTATCTGCCTGACAGTAAATGCTGGCAGCATTATACCCTTCAAATGCAGTGCAACAAATATTTGTCTGTATAGTATGGACCCAGCACCTAAATACAGATTTTTTTTTTTTCAATTTACATCCATTTCAGAAATGAAACCCAAAGTCTTCAAAGTTAAAATTAATTAACCTTTTTGCAATTATAGTATTCAACTGTGACACCCTTCGTATGTTATATTAAACTAAATATATCATCCATAATAACTGTATGCACTATCATCGCCATTCACAAATTTATGAAACACTAAACAGTTTGAGAAGCTGTTTTGTAAACCAAACATTTTGACAGCTGTAGCAAAGACACGGTAAGGGAGGAAGGAGTGATCACAGAGAGACCTGCCACATAAGTACAGCTGCCTTAACTTTCCATCCAAACAATCTTTTATAAAAAGTCACTGAAATTGCTGTTTTGTTAAAACTTAAGTATTTTGCAAAAGTGGAAAATTCCCATGAAACACTGCCAAATTTCTTGCAAGCTTTTACGGAGCCCAGAACCTCAGTTGTGGGGCATTCCCTAGGAGTCCAGGTTTTCAGAAGATGGTATGAAGACTGATTACCGGAGACCAAAGTGCTGTTGAACAGGCAGCTCAGAAACCTGAAGCTCTTCACAATCCTGTCTCCTTGTGGCAGGATCTGAAAGTCACTACACAGACTCTAGGACTTCCAGACCTTCTTGAGAGCTTTAGGTTTTGCTAAGGCTTGGCTATGGACTAGACCCTGAGAGCCTTCAATCTCCAGCACTAAGTCCAGCCTGGTAGCAGTGAATTAAAATTTCCCAAATCTTCTAAGGATGGAAAATGAGGTATCCTCTGGTTGTAATGGCAGGGACATTATGAGCAGTGGCAGTTATATCTGAAAATGATGCAATTCTTGTCAGCTTTGCTGTATGCTGAGTGGAAACAGCAAAATTTACAGAAAAATTGATTTTGCTAATAAACTTCGAGGAATTCTGAAAATAGATTCCATTTCAGTGTTTCTTAAAGAAAAGACTAAAGATTTAGTTCCAACAAAAGAGTACCTATTCATTTCCATAAGGAACTAATTTTATTTAAAAAAACCCTGGAAATTTCCCTTAAAGCAAAGGTTTCTGGCCAGCTTGAGCTGATGCCATTTCCATGGCCATTAGGCCTGGATTAGAAGTGACATTCTGCGAGTGAAAAGGTCACATCTCTCAACCAGTTTTGATTTTTAATCTCTAGCTACCCATGATGTGACATTGTAGTGTTCGGTTCTTGACTGTGCATTGCTTTGTTATGATGAATTTTATCATAATACCTTTTTGACATTCCAACTGCTGGTCTCCGGAAGGGAAAAATTACAGACCATAGAACTTAATTACAGGTATCTATACTTGTGTTTTTGCAGTAGCAGAATTTAAATATAAAACAAACTATTTGATTCAGCTGGTGAATTACCATCTTTATTCATTCCTCAGCCTTTCATGCATGCTCAATGTTTCCTAACAGTTTTTTATCAAAGTCTAGAGTTTTATAGCAAAATCATGTTTGAATATTATGTCATACAGCTGTTAGCACCCATAAGTGACAATGCGCAGCATACTAAGTTAACATAAATCAAGATACCGCTATTAAATCAGTAGGCTTGTGCCAATATACAACAATTATTTAATTACAGAATCCCTGAAAGCACCAGACATGAAATAAAACTTAGTTTAGTCGTTTTAATGAGTCTTTGCATTGAAGTAATCCTTTTAAACATTGATCAACAGGCATTGCAAGTGTTTCATATATTTGAGCAAGTCTAATTACTCGGCTAAATATAAATTTAGAGATTAAATATTAAGCATTACTTAGTGTGTTTGTTTTATTTCTTGTGGTCTCTGTTATGTCTGTCTATGGTTATAAATAATACAGTTGCATTTGTAGCTTTACCTTTCAGCATTTGCAATCCATAATGCAGAATTTCTCATCTATAAAGTTACTTTTTTTTATCATGGAAGCAATTAGAAAATGGCAAGAAGCTTGTGTGAGTTCCTTACTGAGCTCACTCAGGTAATGGCTTCATCCTGAGAAAATCGCGTCTTTAAAAGGGATGTAATCCTGGTAAAGTAACACCCGCATTTCCTATCTCTTGAATTTGGTATTTAAAGCATGGTAGAAACAGGAGCTGAATGAAAATACTGAGAGTATGAAATGGATTAAAGTGTCTAATTAAAAGGCGCTTAAAATGCAGAAATGTCTTCCAATGCGATTTCTCCACAGTATCTCGCTATACTTCTCAAAATACTTTTCATATTTAAATTTTACTGTCCATTTAAGATGTCTGGTATCTGATGAGATGTTCAACTGTGATGCATTATCCTAACAAATTATCTGTGGTGTCAGATATGTCTATTTTCTCTCCTGATTTTGTTTTATCTTTGAAATGATTTACAGATGTCTTATTTATGTGAGGCATAAGCGATATTGCACATTGTTACCATGTGGTTACTCTTGGTCATTAAGGAAGAGTGAGTTGATTTTTTGTTTAGGAAAGCATTATGGACCAGTTGAGATTGATTTGCCCTCTGATTAAAAAGGTATCTGAATTTCTGCCTTTTAAAAATAGAGGATCCAGGAGTGTTCTTTTAGAACAGTGCTAAGTTTCTGTTAAATTAAACAGAAGCAGAACCAATCTTAAAATACGGATAATGAAAGAAACTTGATTTTCTTGTTTATTTTGAATGTGTGCATATATTTTCTAAGTGTTTACTCCTCTTGTATCCTGTATTTGTTTATTCAGTGATAAACAAGCACTTCTAAATCTGTCATGAGGTGCAACGGTCTGGGTTCTACACCCTTGAACTCTGTGGAACTTCTCATGTAGCCAGCTGCTCTCATTAGAGGAGAAGAAAGGAATGCTCTCTCTCCGCTTGGTATCATTTATTTTATACATAGCCAGATTGTAATGAAAGTGACAAAATGCCCATGCCAGCTCCCATACAGGATTCAAGGGTTTAAGTCCCAGTTGGAGATACGTGGTTCACTACTGCCCAGAGTAGGGTATTTAGGTCCTGGAGAGAAGTTATGGAACCGGCTAACTCACATTTCCATATGAATCAGTGCCCCTTCGTGGCTGGAATAGGGAATAACTGGTTAAATCAGTTTGGGGAAGATTACAACTCTTTGGTATGATGCCGATTTAACTATTGGCTCAAAAGCAAATACTTAGTTTTACTATAGTAGGTTAAAGATACTATGTTTGCAACAAGACCATCAGATCAGGAGTAGGGACTGTGTAACCAATTCAGATGTAAGGTCTGAGCCAACAAACAAGTTGTGGGGTAATGCCCAGCTGTAAGGCGGAGAAATCAGTAATTCCACAGGGTCCTTAAAAAAAAAAAAAAAGTGAATCACCTATGGCAGCAACAAAAGAAAATCAGAATGCTGCTTTGAGAGCTAAAAGAAAGTCTAAAGTGAATCTTGTAAGTCCCATTTCTCTCCCAGACTTAATGTGTCGCTCCGGAGCAGCAACACATCTGCTTCTGCTCACCCTATTGGA